GGGGCTCCCGATGGCCCCGATATTCTGTGGAGTAGGTGCAGAATCTCAGACTAGTTCTGGACAGCGTGATATACTTATCCCACTGTGTTTTTTTCCTTTAAGATACAAATCCTAGGGCAAAATTGAAAAGCCTCAGGTAGCCATGTCTCCAAATAAGAGCAAAGTAAACATCGAAGTTGTTACGCCCAGGGGATCAGGTTTTACTAATCTGAACCGGGAGGAAGGGGGTGCGACAGTTTTCTGTGAATGAGTGATGCCCTGAATCCAAGGTCGGAGGGGGCATCTCAGAACTGGTTTGAGAAAGAGGCTCTGCCCCTGTGTTCCTCCAGGGGCGCCCCGGGGCGAGGTGCTTGAGCATCCTTAGCCGTTTTGTTGCCACTGCGGAGAAATGGGGCGCCTGGAGGAAAGACACATTTCAGCCCTAGCATAAGGAAGCAGAAGGTCTCCTTAGCCACATATTTAAAACAACAAAACCAAAGGGGACTTTCAAATACCTTTTCTCCTTCTCTCAAGGTATGGTTGGCAAAACTGTATCTTTAAAGTGTACAACTTGATGATTTGCTGTACATAGACATTGGGAAATAATTATCACAGTCAAGTTAATGAACGTATCCATCACCTCACATGCTTTTGTGTGTGTGTGTGTGTGTGTGTGTGTGTGTGTGTGTGTGTGTGTGTGTGTGGTGAGGACGCCTGAAACACTTTAATGCCCAGGTCTTCAGTGAGACATTCTTCATCTGTAAATAAGATCAAATCATTTTCAAGCAGGGGTCAGCCTTAGTGTAAGCCTAAAAACCTGAAAAAAATTTTGTTTTGGTCAGTATCACTGCTGTATCCTTACAGAACAGTTTTTGGGAAAACTGTTTTCGTTTAATTTTTAAAAGGAATTCATATTTGTTTTGCGCTCGCCTATAAAAAAATGAAGCCCACGGTGAACCCACGATTCTTAGCTCTGAGCCTGCAGACTGGAAGGTACTAATCCAAGGTATGCATCTGAGGTTGGGGTGTTCTTTCTCCTGCACAGGCACACGCGGCTGAGCTTCCGAATCCACGTGCACCCCCAACCCTGACTTGTAAATCTCTGTTGCTTTTAGAGCACGATGGGGGTGGGGGGACGGTGGGGCGTGGGAGCGGCCTAAAAGACGTGGAGGTTGTCTGCGGATGTGTGGGAGCTGCAGGTGTTTCTCCAAGCGGAGGCGGCCTCGGGGGCCAGGAAGCCGTGACCAAAGGGGCAGGGGCTGAGGAGCACATCTGCTCTGCCCCATACTCTGCCAGGTACCGGGAGGGGCGGGCACCCTGCAGAGAGCTAGCCAGGAGATGGTCCTGTGCCCTCACAGTCCCTGCCCCTCATCTGCTGACCCCTCGTCTGTGTCGTCTCAGTCCCAGTAAGGATTACGTGCCGGCAGATTGGGGAGGACCCCTGCCAGCTGTGTCTGTCTAGCATTCAGCAGGGACTCAGCAAATGTGAGTTCCCTTTTCTCGGCGACCTAGTTGGCCGTTCGAGGGGTGACTTGATGGGATAGGTAATGCTGCTTCTGGTCCATCGATAAGGAGGTCGACTCAGAAGGGAGCCTTACCCAGGATCGTGCAGAGGACTGGGGGCAGAGCCGGGCTAGAACTCTGGTCCTCTGCACCTTGCCTGTGCTTTTCACCCCCATCCCCGTTTTGGGTGTGAGAACGGCCCAACCAGAGCAGTCACTGTTACTAGACATTGCTTATCAGACACACCCAGAATTCTACCTTGTTAAACAGTTCAGTCGTTGATGACTGTCACTAAGAATAGAGAAACTGAAACGTATCCACCTGGCAACTCTTGTGGATACAACGTGAAAACACCTTTACAATCAGTCTTCTTTTAGAGTTCCTGCCTCCTGATGCCCAGTAATCGCCACCACCTCCCCCAGACAGTAGCTCAACTGCTCTGCCTGAGAAAGGTGACTTTGTCACGTTTGAGCACTTCATTGTGGCACCTTAAAAAGTACATTTGCTATCAGAATCCCCCCCGAACAGTCACTTTTCCAAGTTAATCTTACCAGAAGTGTTCTCAAAATGAATTCTGATTTTCTAAAATGGCAAGATACTTTATTTTTAAAATCTCGTTATTTTAACACTGCATTGTTAGGTGTGATTTTTGACATCCCAGCAAGGCAAAGCTGTAAGCTCACCAGCTGCCATTAACTTATGGTGCATTTTGTGCAGTATATGTGAGCTTAATATAGATTCTCTAGGCCTGGAAACTGTTATTTTTCAGCATTGCAAAATTATATTGTCTGAGCTTTGGTGCAAATACCAGTATAGAGATTTCAAATAAGTGAGTTTCGGAGTCTCAGTATTATTATCTACGGTTGTTTAGCTCAGTTCGTAGAGGGCCAGGCCCAGACTACCGGGGCTGTGGGTGTGATTCCGTCTCCTTCTTCTGTCTCGTGAGCTCAGGCCACATCCCTTTTACGTGGCCGTCCTTCACTGTAGACCACGGGGACAGCGTGATCAGGTGGGAGGCAGCACTGCTCCTGGGAGACCCGAAGTAGAGGCTACTCACTGAACTGGGAAGCTTTTAGAAAATAGTCATAGCTTGAACCCCACAGGTTGAGTGGGTCTAGCCATGGGTATTTTTTAAAGCTCCCGAAACAGCTTAACGTGCGGCCAGGGTTGAGACCCCCTGGGAAGGAGGAGCATGGAGTTTGGGGCGCTCTGGTTGTAGTCCCCAGTGATCCTTTATGATGTTCACATCCTGGAAGACAGAAAAGCCACCTTTCGGCTGCACTATTCTGTTGGGCTTTTACTCTATGTCATTAGGCTTTTAGGGCATGGCTTAACCGTGTTGGAATTCCTTCAGTAATGAATCATAAGATCTGGTTGTTTTAAACATGAAGTGAGACATTTTGATAAATCAAGATGCATTTTGATTGGTGCCTTAAGATCCACATCTGTTTTCTTATTTTTTGAGAGTTTACCCGGAATGAATGTCTTCTGACAGGCATTACCAGAAATACACTTGCGTTCGCAGTTAATGAACCAAAATGTGGATAATGCATATATCAAAGGAGAATCATTAGTACTTACACATGCTTTGAACTATTTGAGAAGTAAATTATTTTGTATTATATGTGTGTGTCTAGCTGGAAGCTTAGTGCCTGTTCCATGGTTGATCTAACTTTTGCACCAAGATTTATTCGAAAACGAGAGAAACAACGATATTTCAAGAGCCCCCCAGTCTGGAAGTCCTGGTCACAGACAACTGGCTGGGAGAGGAGGCCCACTTTCACTCCCCTGAGTTGGGCTCCGTGTTACAGTGCTCATCCCCCACTGTCCTTCCGGCTCTTCTGTGGTTCTCCCTTGGAACACGTGTGCTTTCCAGGACCATGTTATGACCCTCTTCTTCCCGAAGCCTCCCGCACACAACAAAGTGGCTCCCGTTGGTTCACGGAGTCTTACTCTTTGATTCGTTCCACACAAGCCTGGGTTGGCTTCCAGTGAGCCTTGGGCTGTGCTTTGGTGTTTCTTACCTTGGCAAGGGGACTGCCCTCTCATGCAGGGCCGGTCTTCTTTTTGGAGACAGAGGGGGCCCTCAGTTGAGACCCACTGAATTGAAAGATTAGCCAGATCAGTGTGGAGGGTAGAGCAGAGAGGGAGGCAAAAAGGGAGGGCCAGAGTGTCCTGTTTCAGCGTCGAGAGACTTTTTTCTGTCAGGTGTCAGCTTTTATAACCAGTGTGCATCAGGCCACTGTGGTCACCCACATGCTCGTGTGAGCTGTTTGTGCTCTGAAAGGTCCCCAAGAAAATGAATGGAGCATTAAGAGATGGTTCTGCCAAGTTCAGCTTTTTACCCCAGCCAGAGCGCTAGAGATCAGGCCTGAAGGCACTTAAACTGAAGAAGGGAGCGTTTTAGCCGAGAGACAGAGTTGCCAAAGATGGATGGCGGTTAGTCAGGTGTACTGGGCCATGCTGCTTTGTCTCTTGGAACAACGGCAGTGCAGGGGAGTTGAGGAGGTGAGCGGGGCGCCGGCTGGGCCCCCGGCCCCTGAGCTGGGCGCTGGGGGCAGTGACAGGGAAAGGCCCCTACCCCAGACAGGCTTACACGCTGGTGAATGGTAAGACGGGCTGGAGCTTGGATGGGGGTCGGATGGAAGGAGAAAGAGAAGTAAAAAGACGCTGAGTGTAATCTGACGATGCTGCAGGCACTGTGGAAACGTATGGGAGGAGACACATCTGAGACTTCAAACCCCCAGCCTAGGGCAGGACTATACAAATGGGCTCCCCTTGAGAAGGTTTTTTCGTGACTGTGCTTAAAAGTAGGAACTTGCACTGACGGCTGGGGGACTGACTCTTCTTGTCCCTCAGTCTGGACGATTCCATTCCCACTATCATCAGGAAACTTCCCGCAAAGCCGGTTCATCCCTCTTCTCTGGCACCAACTGGGTTTTGCTGTATCCCCTGCTTCCCTCTGGGCCCTCCTTGGGGTGGTGGGGGGGGACTCTGCACTCTGCAGGGTAGGGAACATCCCTCCCTTCATGCCCATCCCCAGCACGTGCAGCACCTCTAACCTCTTCACTCGTATTCTGCTACTTGGCGCGAGACTGCAGAGCTCGTGGTTGGATTTGAGGGCAGAGTTGCAAGCACCTTGTGGCCAAGCCATCCTAAAATCCTTGGGGTGCCACACCATTCCGGAGGCTCCCAGGGCTCTTCTGTCTGGGAGGCTCCTCAGTGTGCTCTTAGAGAGCCACAAGCTTGCTTTGAGAGCGCCCTCAAGTCTATTAAACCGACGGCTAGTCCTGTGCCTTGTTTGCTAGTTTCAGTACCAACGAGCCATGTGCCAGACAGCTATTAGGACACCAAAAAAGCATCAGGTGAATGAGTAAGACCAGTGGGCCTAGCTTTTCGCCCCGTGACACTGCCAAGAGCGCACTGGGCGGAGACTGCCGCTGGCTGTGTCCCCGCTGCGACGCCCGTAATAACGTAGCGCGTCCCCTACATGATCCCCCCGTCTCGCCCTCTCTCAGAGTGCGGAACAGATCGCTGTGCTGTGTAGGGGTTTCGGCGACACGCAGAGCGACGGCATGGAAGGGCCTCGGGGGCCTCGGGACCCACCTCCGCGGCCGCTGGCTCGCCACCTCTCCGATGCAGACCGCCTCCGAAAAGTCATCCAGGAGCTGATGGACACGGAGAAGTCCTACGTGAAGGTAACGGAAGGGCCCGCGTGTTCTCTCCTGCCCCGTCTCCCCGGGGTTGGCCAGCTGTGTGTCAGCAGGGCTCCCCGGAACCCCAGCCCTCGTGCCAGAGCCGCCTGCTCCTGGAAGCGGCGGATTGCTGCCCGAGAGGGGGGCGAGAGGGCCCACGAGCCGAGAGGGCTTGGGGGAATCAGGTGCTCGGCTCACTGCCTTACCAAGGTAGCTTTCGCTATGGAAACAGATGTTCTGGTTTGTCACCTGTGCTCTGTGGGAAGGGAGTCTGAACTGGTTTAGCAGGAGAGCGCTGGAGAGGACCTGAGGGGCTGGGGAACCAGGCAGGGACCTGCTCACAAGCAGCTGCTGGTGTGGCCCCCACACCTTCCTGGTGGCCGTCGCTGCGCGGGACAGGTCCCCCCCGACGGAGCAGCGGGTCATCCCAGGGTCGCTCCCACCCCGGCACAGAGGGGTACGTGCCGAGACTCTTCAGTACCTGAAGAATTCATTTATGTTTCCGAGGACCCCAGTCAGTAGTTTGAGAAACCTTCTCTGAAGGAGGCCAGAGCCCGGGAAGACCGGGTTCTTCTGTTTTCGGTATTTGCTGGAAGCTCACTTGCTCGGCCGGTGCTGGCAGCAGCCTGGCGCAGGGCAGGGGCTGAGAGTCCCACCAGGCTCTGCCCCGGGTGGCGGCCCGGCCTTCGGTGGTGCCCTCCACTCCCACTCACACCTGCGTGTGCACACCCGGCTGTCACCTCCTTCCTCCACAAGACAAGTCTCGGCTTCCCCTTTCGTCAGTGTTACTGTCATTTTATCTGGACTTGATGGGCGGCCTACTCACAGGTAGAACTACCCGGAGCTCCTTCTTACGGTCCCGGGGGAGAAAGAAAAGCTGTAGAGCGGACAGTCTACTTTCATATCCCATTACGTCTTGTCCAGTATCTCATGTGGGGAGATGACGTGAACACTGGGGAGCTCAGACGGGGCTTCTGGATTGTCCTGTGGTCATGATGGCCTTTCCAAAGCAGCTGTGTGCGCTGTGCGGTTTGAGGCTTCAGAGACCCCCCCCCGGCCCCGTGAGGGAGGGTGGAAACGAGCTTTCACCCACAGAGGCGAGGGCGGAATTCAGAGTTCCTACTGCTCTTGTCGACGTGGTTCTACTTTACTGTTTGGCCACCCCGCACCGGGAGGGTTGTTTCACCGAGGTGCTGGCGGAGGACTGAGATGGATGTTCTGGGTGAGCTAGACGGAAAGGACCCTTTGCCTTGCAAGAAACCTGCACTTTGTTTTCTTAGGGCTGCAGCTGTCCGGCCCCGCGGCTCAGCGCCCACCTGCTTGTGGTGTGTAAGTCCTGAGCAGCCCCCGCCGGCACGAGGAAGGAGGGCAGCCCGTCCCTGGCTCTGACCAAATAACCAGCACCGGGTGCCTCTTGTGATTGACACACACACCATTTTTATTTTGTCATTTCTTTTTGTGGCTGACATTTAACACGGGATTTTACCTCTTGTTCATCTAACCTTGATCCCTGCATGCAACTTGGAATTGTCAGCATTGGTGTGTTCGCTGAGATACGGTTCAGTAGCTTCTCGCATCTCCCTGCTCTGAAGCAGTCGCCGTGGAAGGTGGTGAGGGAGGGAAGGCCAGGGAGCTTTTCGTTGCGACATAGGAAAAGGCATCACAGGCCTGTCCACTTGCTCCCGGGACCTATGCCATAAGGTTCTGGAGGCTTTGGCTCTTACAAAGCTCTTCAGGTCTAGATTTCTCCACTGTAAAATGAGGGAGCAAAATAGTGGACTTTGTAATCGATTACTTCTAGCATTTTCATACTGAAAATTCTTCAGAATAAATGAAATAAGAAGAGAAAAACCTTTCCTATTATAAAATTATGTCCTGGTCTTGGCTTCAAATTATTAAATCAACCCTTTATCTAAAGAGTTTTACAAACACTGTCCACTCCCACTATTCCGTACCGCTGGAGCCCGGTTTACTGGAGACTCCAGTATGGCCTAGATTATAAACATCATGACTGCTCTTAATCCTTGGACATTTTTTCTTGCATTCGAATATGGGAGCTTGAAATTCTGCTAATGCGTCAACCCTGAAGTTGAAGAGCTTCCCAGATCTTGTTCCGTCCCTCTCAGCTCCACGGTGGGGCTGTGGCCATGCTCGCTGAGGCAGAGGAAGAAGCGGGGTGAACTGGCCGGTGTGGTCATGCCCGACAGACGTGCCGTGCCAGAACTCAACTTCTCGCAGGGAGATGAATGCTCCCGCTGCACTCGGCCACAGAGGGAGCCTGGCTCTGCCACCAGGCTGTCCAAGCAGGATAGGCGACCCAGCTGCTGAGTGCATTGTGCCATTGGCCTCTGTGAATTAGGTCAGAAATAATAGGAACTGCCTTCAGGGTCATGAATTTCAACAAGACTTGAAATCCATCATTCCCGGTGGGAGCCTGGAGCTGTGGTCAGGGTTGCCGGAAACTCTTGGGTATTTCGGGGACACGCGTGATAAAGATTCTCTTCTTCCGTCTTTCAGGATCTGAGCTGCCTCTTTGAATTATACTTGGAGCCACTTCAAAATGAGACCTTTCTCACCCAAGATGAGGTAATCAGTCCCCTTCCCCCTGGCCACTGACACACAGGTTAGTCTGTTTGCCCATGAGTGGACCTCCCCGGAGGTTCTATCTGCTGATCCCCAAAGAATCATGGTTGGGACTAAAGGGTTGTCGGAGGGACCCAGGCGTGGCCTCCAAAGCTGTTTATGTGGCCTCTGTCACGTGATGCTCAGTGGCAGGAGTTCACCTGCGCAGGACAGTCAGTGTCCTTTTTGTAGAAGAAAGTGCGGCCAAAAGTTACTCTTTAATTCATGACTTGTTAATGTTAAATCTCAGTAATTAGTTCTTTTCTACTGACTTCCATTTTTCGCCAGTTTGAATCCTGAAAATGTTACATCCATTTATAAGGTTATTTTAGAATTACTAGAACCAGAGCTGTAAAAACTCTGTGCATAAACTATGTCACAGAGTGAATATGCTGCCATCTTTGAAGGATTTACTTCTGTCTGCTTCTTTCTGGTGAACAACTTGGGATTTGCCTGTGCGTCTGGGTGTTAGAGTGGTCTCTGGGTCTTCATTGCTGATACCCCCTTTCCGATCCCGGCCTTCATATAGATGGAGTCCCTTTTTGGAAGTTTGCCAGAGATGCTTGAATTTCAAAAGGTGTTTCTGGAGACTCTGGAGGATGGGATTTCAGCATCCTCGGACTTTAGCAGCCTTGAGACTCCCTCACAGTTCAGAGTGAGTATTTTGGACTTTGGCTTAAAGCAAAAATAAATGGGTAGAATGCAGAACTCTCCCTTGAAAAAGAAATTGCTGTCCCTTGCCCATTGACAAGGTAAATTTAGTGCTGTCATTGTGCTGTTTTCCTCTGGCAGGTGGTAAAAGCTGGCCACGTTTGTATCTTGAGTGGTTCTGGTAGTCAGAGTCTGGGTGGCACAACTTACGTAGAGTCTGCCCGGTGGCTGAGCATGCCTACCACACTGTTTGCTCAGATCTACTGAACGATATGTAGGGAGTTTGCTCGAAGCAGGAGCACCTACCCTGCATCTAATCTCGCATTTTCATGGTCATGTGACGCTGGGATGAAAAGCATAGGTCAGTGGTTCTTCAGTGGAGCCCTGTTCCAACGTGAGCATCAGTGACTAGTGAGGAGCCCCCTCCAGGGAAGGAAAGGTGCAAGACAGTAGAAAGGGGACAGGGCAGGAATCAGACAAAAGCATCTGTCCCAAGTAATGCTTGATTGATTATCCTCCCAGATCATTCATATCCCGCTTTATCCGATGTATTTTTGTCGAACTTTCTTCCTTGCCCTTTGCCTGTGGTGTCAGTAGGCTCTGCTGCCAGAAGGCTTTCAATCAAACTCAAGATCTGCTAGGGGGATGCCAGGCTGTTCTCTGTCTGCTGTGGAAATGGGGCAGTCCTGGCTTTATTTCATTTGGTGATTTCTCTGAGGCATTAGTGCTCTGGTATCTGAAAGACAGTCGCCATGGATGCACCAAAGTAGTCCAATGCCACACCAGAGCCAGCAGACACCGATTAAACCATGTCCAATGTGACTTTTCCTTCCCCTTCTAGAAATTGCTGTTTTCCCTTGGAGGCTCTTTCCTTTATTACGCGGACCATTTTAAACTCTACAGCGGATTCTGTGCTAATCATATTAAAGTACAGAAGGTTCTAGAGCGAGGTAAGTTGCTCATACCTTTATATAACTGCTTTTTTTTTTTAGTTAACAGTAAATTTGCATTTAATAAGTGGGGATAAGTGCAGTTTTAATGGATCATGCTCCGTTCTTGACCTTTAAACTGACAGGCATTAGAGGAAAAATTCTTAGTTTATTTCAGTTTATTGGTAACAGTGAACACCTGTCCTAAGAGCAGAGATGTTTCTCTGCTTTGTTGTCACTCTGCTGTTAAATTACCTCTGGATTCCTTTTTTTTTTTTTGCCAAATTCCTTGATCTGAAACCCAGGAACCATAAGCTGCTGTTTTCTTCCTTTCTCGCTAACCTTCTTAGGCCCGAGGAACGACGCAAATGCCACCAGCACACTCACAAGCAGAGCGGTAACTAGAGTTAAAGCCGCTTTGACGGAGCCAGGCAAACACTAACAGTTAACAGCCCACATCCTGTCACTGAAGCGCCCTTCCTCGCTCCACGTTTTTATCATCTTCTTTTATTGGCTCTAACTGAAGCCTTTCGTTTTCTTGACGCCCAGGGAGACCCGTTGGGTGGACCTTACCCTCTCGGGTTCGTGCCCACACCAGACAGGCGCTGGGGGCCGCGGGAGAGACGGCGCACACGCGCGTGGGGGGGGGGAGGAGGGGGGCGCTGGGGGCGCGCGGCGGGCGCGTGGAGCGCATGGGCTTTTAGTAACCGGCCGGCCGGCCGGCCCAGCCTGGGCGCTGGATTCGAGGATTTGGTGAGAGCCGTGCCCTTGTTCCGCTGCACGCGGACTGTAGGGAGCTTTGCCACGTGCGGCCCCGCCTGCTCCTGCCACACCCCAACCAGGAATGCCGCTTCACCTGAAGCGATTCTGTTCCTGAGGCTGCTTTCCGTGGCCACACACCCGAGATTAAAGTTCTCCAATCTGCCTCTCTCAGAAGACGTTTTTCTTTTTTTTTTTTAATTTTTTTTTAAAGATTTTATTTATTTATTTGAGAGAGAGAGAATGAGAGAGAGAGAGCATGAAAGGGAAGAGGGTCAGAGGGAGAAGCAGACTCCCTGCCGAGCAGGAAGCCCGATGCGGGACTCGATCCCGGGACTCCAGGATCATGACCTGAGCCGAAGGCAGTCGCTTATCCAACTGAGCCACCCAGGCGCCCAGAAGACGTTTTTCTGTCCCATTCTTTGGCATTCTCGTTTGTGGTGGCGGGGCCCGGAGGAGGCAGGCTCAGGGCTGCCGGCACCGGGCGGCAGGGGTGCGGCGCGCGGGAACAGTGCGCGGCCCCCGGGGGTGCGCGGGCCCGGCGCGGGAAGGCGGCTCAGGGAAATGCACGTGAGCCTTACGGTCGTCGTCGGAGCTGTCTCCAGAAAAGGTCACCGGGCCGCCCCTGTTCGTTCTCTCACGGGACCCGGGGAGCAAGACACGAACCTGCCGAAGCCGCCTCCGTTACAATGTCATACGTTTCTGGGATACAGATGACTTCCCCCGGGACTTGAGTGCCTTCTTCAGAATGACAGAGGGCCTCGTGCCTTCTCTCCCACGATGATTTGCCGGCTCTCCCGAAGCCAGGGAGCCCGGGCGCTCTCCTGTGACAGTGGCCAATGTTTGGGGAGAGGTCTGTATTTGAACTTTTTTAGTTGCCTCAACAGGGGCGGTAGCAGCCAAGTTGAATCCCAAGCCCCTTCCTCTGTCATTATAGGCTTCTATCTGAAGGTCGCCCTTCAGTGTTTCCCTCTCAGAACCAGGCGACAGTCTCACCCCAGGATCGATTGTGGAAGGCGAGTGGAGGTTTATCCCAGCACTCAGAGCATTTAGCCCGTTCCACTGATGCAACTTTGGTTTAAATCTGGATCTTTACAGTATCGTAGAAGGACAGGCTCCAGGTTAAGAAATGGAGTCTTAAAGTGCTTCAAGTGAACAAGCCCCAGCCAAAATCTGTCTCCTCTACTTGCTTAAACAGAGATCTGACTCCCGTCGGCATTTCCTCTAGGAACACCTTCTTACTGACAGTGACATTAAAGCACACCAATGCTTTGCTCAGTTCTGAAGGATCATCTCAACAGCCACTTTGGTCACATTCAAAATGGTACCACATCTCCTAGAAGTCGTAGATTTTTGCCTTTGTGACAAAACCCCAAATAAGAGTGTGATTTCATTCAGATTGGCTGAATTCCAAACAGATGGCCAGCCAGTGTCAGCAGGTGGAATCCAGAGTAGCCACTGGTACATCCGTTGGCACTCTCAACACTGAACGGGGTTGGGTTCCTGTGTGTCCCCTTGATAATGTCAGACACTGGACGCAGGTAGCTTTCCCTGCCCGTAGCGGTCTGAAGGTCACATCCCGTGAGATGGACCGCTCAGAGCTGTGGAGGTGAAGGCTGCAGTCCTTACCAATTTATTTTAAAAGAAAACACGATAGCCCCTTGTGTATAGAATAAGTAACAATCTGTGCGAGGACGGTGGGGAAAAATTACTAGTTTATTTTGATATATGATTCTTTTGCAGGGTAGGTGTAGGGTCTGGATGCTACTGTTCTGTGGCTTTATGAATTGGTTGAAACTCACCTTTTAGGCACCCCTAACAATCTCTCATGGGTTTGCATGTGAATATGCCTTTAAAGTCAGACGTTCCTACATTTCAACTTGGTGTGTGGACTGTACTCTTTAGACAGCCTCATAAGTTCCCTTTTTTCATGGGGTTTGCCCCCTCCCCCACAACTGTGATGCTGAATCCATGTTGACAGCTGGGTGCCTGACCCACTGAAGCATTTGGGTTTTCATAAAGGATGGCATTAGGATGACTGTAGAAGTGGATGATCTGTGACTCCATTAAAAACTGAATGAAGTAGGGTTGAATTTCTCCTGCTGTGCTCTTCTAAGGGTCTTTTATTATCCCCCTGCTTGTAGCTAAAACCGATAAAGCCTTCAAGGCTTTCCTGGATGCCCGGAATCCCACCAAGCAGCATTCCTCCACCCTGGAGTCCTACCTCATCAAGCCGGTTCAGAGGGTGCTCAAGTACCCTCTGCTGCTCAAGGAGCTCGTGTCGCTGACGGACCAGGAGAGCGAGGAGCACTATCACCTGACAGGTAGGAAAACGGACCGTGACTGCCGCCACCCGCCAAGCCTGCCCGGCCCCTCTTCTCTTCCCTGCTTCGTTTCACATTCTCAGACCTGCCTCAGGACCACGGTTCTTAAGCTTAGATATAATTTTAGTATGTGCAGGTAGCTACTAGGTATATGGCCAGCCCTCCAGACGGACAGAATACTTAGGCAAAATGATGTCATCGGAGGAGCCCCAAACCCCTCTGGAGGGGTGATTCCATTTTCGTTTTTCAAAGAACGTATTTGAGCTCAGAGAGATGAAATCCGTTACTTTGGGTCTCTCGGTTAGCAAAACAGTGCTGCTGGAACGGAAGATGGGGCCTATTTTCCTGCCACCTTGTGAGGTTGTGTGTTGGCGCTGCCCAGAGCTGCTGATTGAATCCATTGGGTGAGGCTCCACCTTGTGGGGATTTCGGAGCAGAGCCCAGCTCCACAACCCAGCTCCCAGCGACAGGTTCTGCTTTACAGTCCAGGCTGATGTGTCTTATTTTGCAACCCCAGAAATTATGGGCCTAAGATACAATTTGTCAAATACACAAAGCCCCTCAGTTTGAGATGAAGTAGAGTATCCCCTGAAGGGATGCTGTGTTTGCATCAGAGAAATAGTGATTTGTTCTCTGCATGTGAAAACTAGGTGGTCTACCTGTAATAAAATACCTGGGCAGAGTAACAAATTTATTAATACGTATTAGTAGTACTGAATAATAAACACTGAAAAGAGTTTCAATTAAACTGGCTCTTTTTTCTATGACAAGCATACTTTGGTATCATAAGTAACAAAAACAAAAATTTTTTTACATGGAAGTTAAATTCTACAAGTAAATGATACAAATTATGATTAGTATTCAAATAATGTGAAAAGATCCTTTTTCATCAAGATGATGTTTAAATGGGTATATTAAAAATTGCCTTCCAAACTTGCCTCCAAACTGAATTAAAATACTGAATCAGAACAAAATAACGAAAAATACTAAATTTATAGGTAACCTGAAATTTTGCTTTTTGACTTTGACAAAATCATTTTGTCCCTCACATGCCCAAGTAGAAAGTTATAAATAAGCACCGTGTATAAATGCAAACAGTTGCTGTGGTCATTAGGGGCATTTACAGAGACATTAGTAAGTTCTTGCTAACAAACTGTTCTTCACAGTTCCAGTCTTTGGCCCAGGAGGAGAGGCAGAATTTAAGGGCAGGTATCTGATAGCCAGTCAGTCTTGGGTTTCAGTTTTGGCTCTACTCCTTATTTCTCTCTTTAGAAGTCTGGCACAATACTTAACCCCCCCTGCACCTCAGTTTCGTCATCTCTGAAATGGGATTGATTACAGCTCCTGCAGTCATTGAGTTACTGTGGGGATGAAATGAGATGATTAAAATAAACCACCCATTATAGTACCTGCCAAATAGAAGGTGCTCGATCAGCGCTAGCTCTTCTTATTAGTGATACTTTTTACCTGTGTTTTGCCTCATTTCAAAGAGACCTGGAGGTGGGAGATTGTCCTGTTCTTCATTATACTGACTGGGTTACAGTGGGCTGTGTGAGCCATACCTGAGTAGCGCTTCGGTTAGTAAGAACTGGGCTTGAATCTGGCTTGAATCTTGAGCTTTTTCATTACGGCTTTTGGTAGGACTTAAACAAAATTTATAAAATAATGATTTTATATTTTTCAGAGGCACTAAAGGCAATGGAAAAAGTAGCAAGCCACATCAATGAGATGCAAAAGATCTACGAGGATTATGGGACCGTGTTTGACCAGTTAGTGGCAGAGCAGAGTGGAACAGAGAAGGAGGTCGGTGGGACTTCCGGATTCTGAAGGGCTTGAATGCATTTGTTCACTGCATCTGCAGGTGATCTCCAAACGAGGCCACTGTGTTCGGGCTCTCCTAGAGGAGAATATGCCTAAAATGCAGTAAACCATACCATTTAAGTATAAACGGAACAGAAAATTCGTTATACTGGCTTAAGAATGTAACCTTATGTCACCTTAACATTGTGCAAAAGAAAACAAGAAATATCACTAAGCTTACATCCCTCCCCCCTCCTCCCTTTCCATGGGGCCTCGTGAGGCAAGACTCGGCCCAGAGGCGGGTGCGTACATGAAGAGCGCAAGCTGATGGGAGGATGAATACAGGAAGTGGGGTCAGCAGCTAGAAAGAACCGATGTCTAACATCGGTGGCTACCTCCTTACTTACAGAACTAGTTTAAGTGGAATTTGACAATTTCTCTATTTTTCTTTTCTGGTTAATTACTAAATTAGAATCTTGAGCTTTTCAAGTCTACATATAAGAAAACGTAGTTTCAGTAGAGAAAGAACAGAAAACAACTGGAGTTTAATTTTTTGTGACAGTTTCAGTGTTGGTCTTTTTATCTTTGCAGGCCCAGTGTAGTTTATGGATTGGGGTGGTGACACTTTGGATGGACCTCAATGTCCATTTACATATAATGTGTGCACTGAACCCAAATGCCTTTCTATTTATGTTATTTTTCAAAGTTCGATGCTTTGCTCATATTTTCAAAACCTATACTATTTAAAGGCCCCATGTTTACGGGGGCCATAAGAATCACATTGAATGTACTTGGAATCCCCATATATACGTATGTGATTCACTGTCCAACATGAGACAACCTACCCCTGGGGTCTCCCTGTCTTCATCTCCCGTTTTTATGATACAGGTAACAGAACTTTCCATGGGGGAGCTTCTGATGCACTCTGCAGTTTCCTGGTTGAATCCATTTCTGTCTCTAGGAAAAGCCAGAAAGGACCTTGAACTCACGGTGTTTGGTTAGTATCCCATTTGAAATAATGTAAACTTAAAATAAGACTGGTGAAAATGAAGATGTTTCTAGACCCACCAGTCCAGCTAACTCTGATTTTCAGAAGGAGTTGGAATCATTGCTGTAATGGCTTTTGACTGAACAGAGCCAGCCCCCAACTATTTAAAATGCTGTCGCTCTGCATACTCATTATCTTGTTCTCCCTTCTGCTTGGCTTAGTGCTTCTGGCCAACTGTTACAGGAACAGATCTCCTGAGGCTATTTTGAAACCTGCTATCTTAATTGTTTGCTGCATTTCCAAAATGTCTTAATTCTCACTAAGACCGATTATAGACAGTGTAATTCTCACCAAGATGAGCACCATGTCCTCAGATTTCGATAAAACAAAACAGGGATTTTTTAAAAAATCGCCAAGATCTACTTGAGATGATTGCTTTTAAATAAGTAGGTATTTCTGCATCACTGAAATATGATCAGAGGAGAGCACCATTTATTCACTCCTGTGCTGGTATAGTGGGATCTCGGAGCTTCATAAGTTTGAAGAGCTTTGTTCTATTAAAACATTCTAAGCCATAATTCAACCTTGGAAGAAAGTTTGTACAAAATAATGAAAGACTTCTTTTTCTTTTCCTTTCTTTAGTTTTTAAGAGAGCTGTCATATTGGTTTATAAAGAAAACTGCAAACTGAAAAAGAAATTGGTAAGACAAGAAGTACATTTAATTAAAGCTACCTTTTCATGGCTCTGTTCTCCTGTCAGTGTTGGTCTGAGAAGCCCGCTCAGAACCAAGGCCTCACTGGACTAATGGGACTTATTCCTGGGGTGACTAAGCAAACCAGATACTCAGCTATTATTCTCCCCACAAACAATGTCTGCTTTTAAAAGAAGATGTAGACAAATTCCCGTGCTGGGGCCTACACCAGAAAATCAGCTTCCATATCCCTGAAAATGGCCCATGTTTGCTCCATGCACATAAGAGACCATGTAACTTTGGTTTGTTTTCAAACGACTTTTACCTTAGTTCAAAAAAAAAAAAAGAAAAAGAAAAAGCTTGGCTGTGGATACCGTAAGCCATCAGTCATTACTGTCCAGAGGTAATGAGGACACAGAAAGCTCGGTTGTCATTCTTGCTGGTGTCTAGCAGTCTGTGCTCCCCAGACCACGGCTCTGCCCCAACCCCCCTCCCCCCCAATTCTGAGATCTCTGAGAACTGGGGGCGTACCTGCACCCTGACCACCCACACAGCTGCAAGGAGCCTCGCACACAGAACTTCATGTTTCCATTCCCTGCACATCTCCTCTCTGGGTGAGAGCTTGCTCTAACACTTTTCTTGGGGGGCTTTCCTGTTACAGCCTTCGAATTCCCGGCCTGCACATGGCTCTGCTGACTTGGACCCATTTAAATTTCGCTGGTTGATCCCCATATCCGCACTTCAAGTCAGACTGGGGAATACAGCAGGTAATTGTTTCATGTGGTATGATGCCAGGAAAAAGTTTTTTAAGATTTTATTTGTTTGTCAGAGCACAAGCAGGGGGAGTGGCAGGCCAGAGGGAAAGCAGAGGGGAAGTGGGCTCCCCTCCCAGCAAGGAGCCTGATTCGGGGCTCAATCCCAGGACCCTGAGATCGTGACCCGAGCTGAAGGCAGACACTTGACTGACTGAGCCACCCAGGCGTCCCCAGGAAAAAGCATTTTAACGGGGCTTATTTGCATTGTGGAATGAAAAACTAGGAAAGAACCTTCAGAATAATTTCTGAGTTTTATTTTATAGGCAAAGAAAGTAAGGACAGGAGAGGTTTTTTTTTTTTTTTTTTTTTTTTTTACAGACTTTGAGACAAAGTAAATGCCAAATTTGCCTTTTCTTCGCCAGATACCTCTCTTCATTGTTTCCTTATTTTCACTCTCAATGGTTTTCAACATTTTTCCTGCCTAATATCCTTGATACCCTAAAATTTGTTAAAGGACCACAAACTTAAATTAAAAAAATTTTGATATATCAGAAAATTCCTTAAGATTAAGCAGTACTGTATGTGATATTAGGAAAAAAAAAAAACTTTTCCACCTTGGAAAATGTTCAGAGGTCCTTCTAGAATAACCATGTTCTGATGACAGTGCCTCCGACGACAGAAAGGACCAATAGTCTAAGGCATGCAGTGATGCTCTGGATCCCTGTTTTGTTTGAGGGGCTTACATTTCCTAAAACGGGACTGACTTTGGGCTGGTCTGTTTACTTCAAGTACCTGAGCACATCCTACTGTTCCTTCCAAAGAATACAATGAATGGAATGGGGTTGACAAACAGGATCCATTTAACCTCCTTCCCCAAGAGATGTGATCCAGTGCTAGGGAGAAAGCACACTGGGATGGATGGAAAACTACCAGGAAATGTAAAAAGTAACTAAAAAGTATTTAACTTTTGATAACTATTTGTGAAAGTCATACATAGAATGAGGCACAGAAGAAAATGATGAGACTCAGGACAGGAAATATTTGACGTGTTTCGAACTTCACATTTTTGGCAAAGTCGTAGACCCTTGTTTCCTTTTACACAGGGACAGAAAATAATTCCGTATGGGAACTGATCCATACGAAGTCAGAACTAGAAGGACGGCCAGAAACCATCTTCCAACTGTGTTGCAGGTATTACTGATTTCCAAAAATTAAAGCCAATGGGAAAAAGACAGAATTGTGCTCTCTTAAAAATGGGAGTTTATTTTTAGTGCTCTCCTGAATTTTGATGACTTCAGGATCACACCCAGCCTCCCCCAAATGGCAACTGTGTCTGTAGTAGAATACATTGATTAAATATGTATCCAAATCTTAGTGCTCAAAGGCCTTCAAAAATGATCACTTCTCCTTTTGTGAGGAGACCAAGGTACGCAGAAGCTGGGTGACTCATGGTCAGTCTGTCCTGAGAGCAGTAATAGGACACTTAAGGACCAGGAGATGTGGACACAAAGCATGTGGACACTCCACATGACTGTTTTCTCTTCTCCCCTCACCAGTGACAGTGAGAGCAAAACCACCATCGTCAAGGTGATTCGATCTATTCTGAGGGAAAACTTCAGGCGTCACATCAAGTGTGAATTACCCCTGGAGAAGACCTGTAAGGATCGCCTGGTACCCCTTAAGAACCGAGTTCCTGTTTCAGCCAAGTTAGGTGAGAACTTTGCTGGCCTTGTGTTTATTCAGGAAAACATAAGCTTCTCTGTAAGGATATGTTTTTGTAATACAGCAGTGAGTCATCACTTTGTAAAGTACCAGGGGGAGCCCTGTAAGCTCTGAACCAGACACCCGAGCACACGGAGTGGTGTGTGAAGGTGGTGGCAATTTTATTTCCTTTTAAGAAACTTAAGGGGCACCTGGGTGGCTCAGTTGGGTAAGCGTCTGTCTTCAGCTCAGGTCATGATCCTGGGGTCCTGGGATTGAGCCCCGTGTTGGGCTCCCTGCTCTACGGGGAGTCTGCTTCTCCCTTACCCTCAGCCACTCTCCCTACTTGTGCTCTCTCCCTCTCTCAAATAAATAAAATCTTAAAAAAAAAAGAAACTTAAAATGCCTCTTGCTCCCAAACCTTGTATAAACTATAACCACCCCCAATCCCAAGTCCTCATTTTACCACTAGCTGACATAGTCTCTTTACTACCTTATCTCTTTCTTCCATCGAGATGTGCAGGAGTCACATAGTCTCTTAGCTTAGCTTGGCTCACTGCAGTACTCCCAGTGCTCCGAACAGCTCAGGCATCTAAAAAGTCAGTACTTGAATTAAGATCAAGAAACCGTATGTTCATTCTTACCCAGTCAATTAGGTCAGCAAGGAAACACTCCAGATCATGCTTTTCTTAAACTTTCTGCCTGCTTTTAAAATTTCAGTTAAAATTTTAAATTTTCTGCTTTTTAAAATTTCAGTTTAAACCTTCTCTCTGTAGTAACTGTTTTGTTCGTATCTTTGGTCTTGTTTCTTCTCTTTATTGGTCACAGTGTGACCTCCTCTTCAAATTCACTGTATATTTTCTACTTTTTTCTCTATTGCCAAAATAAGCTGTAGCCATCAAAACTACGGTCTTACTGTCACGGAAACATCACAGCTGAGAGCTCCCCTTTTCCCTTCAACCCAAGAGAAAAGAATTGAACACACACAAATGATTAAATTATTCCTATTAAATCTATGAAAGTTGGCTAGAAATTCCAGCAGAGACCGTTCTCGAGTGATGAAGGGCATTTTTCTACTTTTAATGGAGCAGCAAGGGAAATAAGGTGAGAAGGCAGGCGTAGAAATATGGTATAATCTTGGCTGTCCAGTTCCAAAGTACTTTAGTGAAAGAAAGGGACCTAGATTTTATTAGTAGCTAACTTTTTCATTTATCCATTGGCAAAATAAGAATCCTAGCCTTCATAATAGTTTATATAGCTTGTTGTTCTATCTAAACAATTGAGCTCTGGTAATAGGTCATCTAGAAATGCCCAATCCTCCGACATAAAATTTCAAATAAACGTTAAGTAAAAAATTTCCACACTTGGCAGTATCTGCACGTTTTGGGTGTATGTGTGTTTTTTTTTCTTTCTTTTTTTTTTTTTTGCCCAAGCCCCAGGATAGTTGGTAACAGAAGTGAGATAAGTCATTAAGATGTTACATCTTATAACGTACATTGCAAAAATTACGCATTGTGGAGTCTTTTTCTCGATCACGAGGGGAAATGCACTTTTCTCATCGCAGCTTCCTCCAGGTCCTTGAAAGTCCTCAAGAATTCCTCCAGCAGCGAGTGGCCTGGCGAGTCCGGCGAGGCCAGCAAAGGCAGCTCCCTGGACTCGGACGAGTGCAGCCTGAGCAGTAGCACCCAGAGCAGCGGCTGCGCCCCGGGCGGGAGCAGGCAGGAGTCCGTGCAACACCCCCAGGCAGGCCTGGCTGATCTGTCAGACAGTCTCATCAAGGAGAGTGACATCCTGAGCGACGACGACGACGACTACCATCAGACTCTCAGACGGGGCAGCCCTACCAAAGACATTGAAATTCAGTTCCAGAGACTGAGAATCTCCGACGGCCCTGATGCAAAGCCAGCTGAACAGCAGCCTGGCACGGAGGGCCGGCCCACAGGGGAGCAGCCCAAGCTGGTGCGGGGGCACTTCTGCGCCATTAAACGGAAAGCGAACAGCACCAAGCGGGACAGGGGAACTTTGCTGAAGGCACAGATTCGCCATCAGTCCCTTGACAGTCAGTCTGAAAATGCCAACCTTGATCTCAGTTCTGTTCTCCAGCGAGAGTTCAGTGTCCAGAGTTTAACCTCGGTGGTCAACGAGGAGTGTTTTTATGAAACAGAGAGCCACGGGAAGTTGTAGTGCCATTTCAGTCCAGATGTGGGCTCGATGGCTTGTTTTACTTTTAAACTGGTGGTCAAGTGGAAATGGCAGAAAAACTCATTATTGGGTTTTGTGCGGCATACATTTTCCCCACAAAATAGTTGTAAAGATTTAAGTTATTTTAATTTATTGTAGATCAGAAAACTAGATTGAACTGATCAGAATCTGTAAATTACTTAGTTTATAGCCCTTTTGAGCAGGTATCAAAATGACTTAGGATCCTTAAAATTGCAGTCTATTTTAATTTATGTGGAAAAAGTAAGATGGGGGAATTGTGATTAATAGGTCATTGTTTTTTTTCCAATCCTCTGGGCATTTTCTTTGAGCTGTTAGTTTTTGCTTTATTTAAAGCATATTTATTTTAATGTGGGTGAGGGGCACAATGTGCAGATATTTCATTTTTGTAAGGTTGTTAACAGATGCCGTTTATACTGACCATGTCATATCTATGCAGTATATATATTAAAAGAAAGCTTGTACTGTATCTTATTTCATTATTTTCTCTACCAAGCTGTACAGTAAAAGGGAAATAAGTCACATATGGTGATCGTATTTTTGTTGTCCTTCCGTAGAAGACAGACAGAGTACACATCTGAGCAGCTTAACACTGGAAAGCAGCATTCGGTGCGCTGTTAGAGTCTGTCTCTCTCCTTGTCGTCGTCTTTTTCCTGAGCTTTGCTTTTATTTTGTTTGAGTTCTTCTCTGAAATTGTAAGCAAAGAGGTGTGGGTCTTCATCACACATTTTTCGGTATACATCACACAGGCTCTTAAAGTGTGAAACAGAGAGCTGGCTGGGTCGAAGGGTAGGGTCCACGTCTGCCAACTCTAACAGTTTTCCAGTGCTTTCCACGCGCTGAACTTCAGGGAATAACATTCTGAGGAGAGAAAATAATCAAAATTTCAAAATTTTACTTAAAGAATTCCTTAAATCATGATGCTTCCTTCTACTCACTTGAAAATGACATCGAGAGGGAGTGGAGGCTGCGGCTGGAGTGTCCTCGGGGCCCCAAGCCAATGGAGAGGGATCTTGATCGTGCCACTAGGCAACAGGTACAAAGGACCACTGAAGGAGGAGCTCCTCTGCCCTGTGAGGTGTGTCCACAAGGGAAAACAAACACCTTCCAAAGCTCAGTCAATACAAGTACCTTTAAGCCTTTAAGGTAAGTTTAAAGAAACACGTATTCAGTTGTATTCTTATAGAAATGTTTGATTTGCCTCATTCTAATATGAAACTTGTCTTACTTCTTGACTCTCTTAGCTTTTGTGAATGTTCACCCCCAAGGAATGACCTTTGCAAAGTTTGAAACCAGGTGATGTGAAAATGCAAAGATTTACCTTGCGGCATCTTTACGACTGATTAGAAGTATATATTTTAAATTTCATCTAACCTAGCAGATCACGGTTTTAAAATGAGTAACAAAACTGATTGAAATGTTGCAAAGCTACACCTGGATTTTATTTCTTTTCTCAATAGTTAGGGACTCTGCAGAGCGCAGAGGTCATGGCCAATGGAGATGAGAGTTTTTCTTACAGGCTGTTGGTCCTCTCAGTAAGGAACTGCACGTTCCCTATGGTGTCGGGTGAGCTGTGATCTTGGAGTTCAGCTTCATGGCAAGGGGGGGACCAATGTGTGGGTGCATGTGACAGAAGGACACCAATGGGTCAAAGCGGGCACACTATTTGGGGTCCCTCTCTGCACAAGAGACGGTGTATAGGAGATGAAGGGGCCCATCACTTAGGTTGGAAATGCCGGGGCCAGCTCTGAGGCCCACTCCAGGATTTCCAAAAGTAGAATATACTTTTTGTGATCCCCCCCCATGAATCAGGGCCATCATGTACAGCTGTACAAGTCACACCCTGCGTGCAGGGTGAGTGTGAGCTGAAATCCAGTTCGGGTTCTACTTGTCAAATAGCGCACATCCTGGCTGGGGCTTGCCGCCTACCAGGGGTGGTAATGTAATGCCATCATTCTAACTAGCACCAAGACAGCTGGTGGCATCCGTCACTACTCCGCTCAAGTCTCTGCTCAAGAAGTAGTAACTGTCTGGTGAAGTATAAATCCTGGCCTAATTACAGCCAACAAATGGCAAGACAAGGATTTAACATCAGTCAGCTCCAATCCTCAAGAATGAATTTTGCGGGCTGCAAGGGTTTCAGGATGCAGCTGCCCAGCTGTACCTGAAATAATTTCATATGCTAAGACGACACTTCATAGAACCAGAGCAAGAGCAAAGAGATGGGGCTTTATATAAAGGGGAGGTGGGATCAGAAAATGAGAAATGCGTGCCTATGGAGCTGGGCGCCTTTAAACAGCTAAAGTTTGGCCATATTAGATGGCAGCCTTTTAAAAAAACATCACACACACAGCTTCCTGCCTAAGTACTTGGGCCTAATTAAACATTTTCTTGGCTGCCAATGGATAGAAAATATCACTGTGGTCATTTCAGGGCCTCAAGAGGCGCTTGGACCCTAAAGCACCATGTTCTGTCTGGGTTTCCTGACAGTGGCCATGTGTGTGCACAGAGCAGTAAGCACAGCAGACTGAAGGAGCTCCCCATTACATAAAAACATGCTTGTATGAAGACCTCGTGACGTCATTTTGGCTGTTCCAACATTATACCTGCTTCCTAGTTCTAAGTGTGTCCTTAAAAGTGATATAGCAAGTTGGTGGGAAGAAGAGCATTCAAAAAACTCAGTATGGGGCGCCTAGGTGGCTCAGTCGGTTATGTGGCTGCCTTCAGCTCAGGTCATGATCCCGGGGTCCTGGAATCAAGCCCCATGTTGGGCTCCCTGCTCAGCGGGGAGCCTGTTCCTCCCTCTGCCCCTCTTCTCTGCTCATGCTCTCAGATAAATAAAAAAAAAAATCTTAAAAAAAACAACCCCAACTCACTGTGATAATTTATTATTTGGCCTTTGTTTCAGGTTCCTGACACAGAGTTTCTAAATCCTTTAAAATTTCCTGATAAGGGGTAATAGGAGCATTTTTTGTTATGCCTAATAAAACTCCTTTTCAACCATACCTGAATTTGTGCTAATGAGATGACTCTTGGTGGGTCCCTAGATAGCTTTAGGATGGGGACAGTTGTCAAAGGAACTAACCCTGTGATTAGAGGGTTGGAACTCTGCCTCATCTCCAGGTCTCTAGGAAGAAGCGAGAGGTTGGAGACTGAGCTCAATCACCAGTGGCCAATAATGGAATCAAATGCCTAACGGACTGTCCATAAAGACCCTTAAATGATGGGTTCAGAGAGCTTCTAGGCTGGTGAAGACAGGTGCTGGGAGGGTGAGGAGCCCCGAGAGGGCACAGAAGCTCTGTGTACCCCTTGGCTCCCATACATACCTTGCCCTACGTCTCTTCCATTTGGCTGTTCCTGAGTTATATCCTTTATAATTGGATAAATGAAAGTGCTTCCCTGAGTTCTGTAAGCCACTCTAGCAAATGAGTGAACCTGAAGTGGCAGGGGGTAGGGTAGAGGGGGTGTCACAGAAATCCCCATTTCAGTGGTAACCTGGGACTTGTGACTAGTGTCTGAAGTGGGAGCAGTCTTGTGGCCCCTGAACCCTTAACCTGTGGGCTCTGTGCCACTCCAGGTAGTTAATGTCAGACTTGAATGGAATTTTAAGACACCCAGTTGGTGCCTAAAGAATTGGGGGACTTGTTGGTGTTGGAAAAAACACCACACATGGGGTCAAGTGCTGAGCGTAAAAACGGTTCATATGGTCTGCTCTGAGAACTCAGGGTCATTATCAACTGCACAATTGTCAGTTTTTAGCTTGTACTGATGCTAAAACAAAACCTGCTGGTGGCCTCTAAGCTTAACGCAGGGCTTTGCCTTTTCCTCTGGGCCAGTCAAGGTTTGTTCACCTCAGGATTTGAATGAAGAGTGACATTTACAGTTAGCTTGAAGAATCCTAAAAACAAGGTTCTTAATCTTTAAAAGTGCTTAAGGACTTTAGAAAGCATGCCAGTGAAAGGCAGAGAAGGCATTCTTACCCAAGCCCTCGATAGCAGTATTTCCTCCGGAACTGAAATGCGTTCTGAACGACCTTCTCCACCAGCTTGAAGGGCTGCTCGATCCTGGGCTGCACCAGGGGGGTGAAGTGCACCACGCCCACGTCCACCTTCATCGTGAGCAAACATACATCATTTTGCGGCATGGCAGAACATGATTAAACAATTCGTCTTTGTCAAACACAGGTGGATGGGTTTTTGACTGCATGGTTCTCATAAACCCTTACATGGACTCCGGCTTCACCTTCTACAGGCAGGTAAGCTGTTGCACTTGGCTTTGAGCTGACTCCGAGCCATCCCGTGCATCTGCTCTGTAATGACATCCACTAGACCTGTGCTTGATGATCACTTAATGTTCAAATGTAGTTTTACAATGGCCTTTAAGATCAATCCAAATCATTAAAGTCAGTTGGCAGCTAACAGATAGCTTTGGAGTATTTTATTTAGCTTTGGAAAGTGTAAAAAAAATAAGCTGCAGCAGCAGTTCTGGCTATAAGCTGGGCTTCCAAACACAGAAGAGAAGGCAGATGGCCCCCCAAGGACCATTTAGTGCTAAACTCCCCAGAAAGGGAATCAATTAGGACACCACTTATTTTGGGTATAGACCCCGATTAATCAGCTGGACCGAATTCATGACTGTCACCTGCATGGCCACATCACTTTCTGGGAGCAACTTGAAATGCCCCAGGAGGCCCAGGCAGGATCAAATAGAAAGTGGAAACCCCCCAAAATGTCACGGTTTGAGTGGTGAACTAGCACTAGCAGTTCAGATTCTCTATCAGAAAATAAAACTTTTCAGGCATATCTGTTAGGAGATTTAAACCCTGTCTCTATATTCAAAATAACAAAGGAATAGTATCGAAAGTAAGGACAAAGGGAGAAATAGAGTCAAAGCAGTTATCATGCACAAAAATGCCTGACAGAGACCATGCCCTAACAAATGGGAAGTCTGTTCATAATTTACAAAAGCCTTGTTCTCTAAGGAATTGTTAAATTTGCTACTTAGAACATCACACGGACTCTACAAAGGCTAAGAA